AAAGGTTCTTTCCCTTGTATTCAGTTATTAATATGTTTGTTTGCATAGGTTTGGAAAAAAAGGCTAGATATGGAAACTGAAATCATCTTTATTAGTTTACAACATATGCTGGCTGGGTCTCACATCATTCAGAGATAATAGCAATAGGTACATATTCAATGTTATATTACTATACACACAGCATTCATTATAAGGTTCATACCTGAGTGCAAAAAAACAAGGCCAGGCCAGGGCCGGCTCTGGCTTTTTTGCCGCCCAAGGCAAAAAAGCCTCCCGCCTCCCACCGCCCCCCGCGAGCACGGCAGGGGAGGGCGCCGAGCCCGGCCGTGGGCCGCTCTCCCTGACCGGCCGGAGCGCCGGGGGAAGGGCGGCGAGCCCGCCGCGGCTCCGCTGGCGGCCGGAGCCCCGGGAGGAGGGCGGAGAGCCCGGCCGGGGCTCTGCTCTCCCCGGCATCCAGAGCGCCGGGAGGAGGGCAGAGAGCCTGGCCGGGGCTCCGCTTTCCCCGGCGGCCAGAGCGCCGGGAGGAGGGCGGAGAGCCCGGCCGGGGCTCCGCTCTCCCCGGTGGCCAGAGCGCCGGGAGGAGTGCAGCGAGCCCACTGCGACTCCGCTCTCCCCAGTAGCCGGAGCCGGAGCGCCGCGCCGCTCCCCTCCAGGTGCCGCCCCAAGCACAAGCTTGGTAGGCTGGTGCCTGGAGCCGGCCCTGGGCCAGGCAGAGCACAGTACAGCAACACACATTACTGTGGCTCACTATTAAAACAGTTTTTCGATGCCTCCCTGAGGGGAATAGCTCCCCATTGAACCCTTCTTATAGTCCTGGTATCTGGCTGCTCAAAATCAGCAGACAGCTGTTCCACCTCTTCCCTCCACCCCAGCAGAAACTTTTCTCCCTTTGCTTCACAGTATTATGAAGCACCCACCAGGCAGCTATAACCATAGGGATATTTTTTTCACTGAGGTCTAATCTCAAGAGTAGACAGTGCCAGCGGTCTTTCAAACAGCCAAAGACACATTCAACTGTCATTCTGCACTGGCTCAGCCTCTAGTTGAAGTGCTCTTTGCTGCTATCGGGGTGGCCGGTGTACAGCTTCATGAATCATGGGAGTAAGGGATAGACTGGGTCTCTCAGGATCACTAATGGCATTTCAACATCCCCAATAATGATCCTCTGGTCTGGAAAGAAAGTCGCTGCTTGCAGCTTTCTGAACAGGCCTGTGTTCTTAAAGATGTATAGTCATGCACCTTCCCTGACCACCCTGCATTGATGTTGGTAACAAGTCCCCAGTAATATACCACAACTTGCAATACCATAGAAAAGTAACCCTTTCTGTTGATTTACTCTGTGGCAAGGTAGTCTGGTGCCAAAATAGGGGTATGTGTGCCATCTATCACCCTACCTCAGTTTGGGAACCCCATTGCTGGAAATGGGCCTGCACAAATCTGTTATGTCCTGCACATTGCCCAGAGTCACAGTCCTTCATGGCAGGACCCGATTAATGGTTTTGCACACTTGCATCACAACAACACCCACGGTGGATTTCCCAACTCCAAATTGATTCCCGACTGATCAGTAGCAATCTGGCGTTGCAAGCTTCTACACAGCAATCACCACTCATTTCTCCACTGTCAGTTTAGCTCTCATTTTGGTGTCATTGTGCCATATGGATGGGGTGAGCGCCGCAAACACTTCCAGGAATGTGGCCTTGCGCAAGTGAAAGTTCTGCAGCCAATGCCCATCATCCATACCTGCATTACGATGCAATCCCACCAGTCAGTGCTTGTTTCTCAGGCCCAGAACCAGTGCACCACCATCTGCAGCTGCTCTGTAAATGCCAACAACAACCATGAATTGTTTCTTTTTATGTCCCACAGCAAGGCAGCCTCCAAGGAATTGTCTTGTTCTGCCACCTGGCTCCTCTGGCGGCTCTGCAAATGCTGCAAGATCAGGCACGTTGTGCTCACAACACCCATCACTATAGTGCAGAGCTGTGTAGGATCAGGCGTCTCACAGCTATGGCAGATGCACAGATCTTTGGGGCTTTTGAAAAGAGGCATGAAACATTATGGGATGCAGATAAAATTATGAGATGGAGAAAACTACATCATGATGCTGAAACCGTGTTCCAAATCAGCCCTGCGCAACTTGTTTGCTTCCATGAGGCATTGCAAATCCTTCCCAAAACACCCTGCGCTAGATGGTGGCAAGTTGCACAGTGGGATAGATACCCACTGTGATGTTGCACTCCATATAATTTTATGAAAATATGCTAATGAGTGTGAATATAATGTAACTGGAATATGCTTCATGCAAAAAGAACAGGAGTACTTGTGGCACCTTAGAGACTAACAAATTTATTAGAGCATAAGCTTTCGTGGACTACAGCCCACTTCATGCAAAAGGTCTCTTGTAAGGTATCATTACAAAGCTTATAATCTACTGAGTGTGGTGATCCTGTTTGTATAAATGTATCATTCTTGTATCTGAAACTAGAAATATGAAATATAACTCTGAGGTCCTATTGTAATTATGCAATTATGCCATTAATGATGGTTTGGAATCTTGATGGCTCCCATCAGCTAGGACAATTGGTTATGCAGGGTTCTGAAGACCCAAACTGGCAGAGAAAACAGGCTCAGAGGTAGTCTCAGCACATCAGGTGACAGTCCCAAGGGGGTCTCTGTGACCGAACCTGTCACACCGATGGTGCACTGCTCTCTGCATGAATGCAAGCCTTGGTAGTGAGGACATGCACTGCTTATACAAAGAGCATTCTGTGGACATGCAAAAGTGATTTAATTACTGCGGCGGCTATACGTCAATGTAACTTTGGTCGATTTAATTTTGTACTGTAGACTTGCCCTTTAGTCTAGTTCTGGAGGCAGCCACATGGTGAAAAGCTGTATCATTTTTTGACATTGGCAATGTGTAAAAACAATGGAAGAGACTGTAAACTAATTTCCACTCTGCTTTATTATCAGAAGAAAAATTTTGAAGTTTAACATCTATTTAAATATTAAAGAAACATCATGTTTAAATATTTGTGTTATTTTTTACTGCTGCTAAACTATTATTAAAACAGATTAGAAATTGCTTTATGGTTTTAGGACTAAATCCTAGATATTCTGGGCATTGCAATGCCCACTAAAGCCAACAGGAAGTCAGCTGAGAAGTACTCATCTAATCAAAATTGTTCTGATGGAACAGTTTTCCATTGGAAAATGATGATTCAATGAAATCAAAATGTCCTGCAGGAATAAATAATAATATAATATAACATAATATACAGCTAATTATTGATAAGGTTGAAATGAATGTTGTTCTGATTTCCAAAATTAACTTTTGGAATTCCCATTTCATGGGAATTTTGCATTTTTGTTCCAATTCAAACCAAAAAACAAACAAAAAAGCAATTTCCCACAGAACAAGAATTCTGGGTTCTGACCAGCTCTATCAATCTTTCAGTATTGTCTCAGTCACTGATGCCAAATGCTCTTTGATTCTTTAAAGACTCTTCTGGCTCCTTAGTGTGCTTTCATATGTGTCATATGTGAATGTCTATTCCAGGAAGCAGACAATAGGCCAGATTTTCCCATTAATTACATCCAGGCAACCAGGCTGAAGTCACTGGTGTTGCCTGGGTGTACTTGAAGAGAGAATTTGATATATGCAATATTATTTATGCGGAATGTCAGTTTCTATTGTCTAACAGTAGTAGCAGCCCCTCAGAGGCTGCAGCTCCTCCTACACTGTAATCCACAATATAGATAGCCTGCACAGAAGAGTAAAGGGGTGCTTTAAGCTCATTTACTTCCCTGTGCAGTCTCAGATATGTACAGCAAGCCATGATCTTGCCCAGAGAGTGAAGAAAGCTGTTATTAGCATATTTAACTCCGAGGAAATCAGCAACAGGTGTACACTTACCAGCCATGTATATTACAATATTATTCCAAACACAAAACGGCCCATTTTTGGTTTCTATGCCCTCAGTTAACTGTGTGCATAAGGTGGTTAGAAGCCTTTTCCTATTAAACCTCCCACTCCATTCCTTCCACTCTCTCTCACTCCATTCCTTCCATTCTCCTCTGAATAGGCTTGATTCAACTCTATTGAAGTTATTGAATTAAATGGGGCCTACCTGTCTGATAATTATACAATATTTGGATTCTGATATTTACTTTTTCTGATTTTTGGTGTTTACAATTTTGCATATTCAAAAATCGTGAGATTTTAAAAAATATATTTTTCTTTGCCTTCTGATTCATTGTTCAACATTTTCCCTGCTGCAACCAGAAAGGCTGGATTTTTTTTTTAAATGTAAGTTAAGATTGTCACATAACTTTGGGGGCTGGGACTTTCAGAAAAAAAACCAAATATCTCCAGAGTTGACAGCACTGTGTTTATTTGTAGGTAAACTGACTCTTTTTAGGTAAAACATTATTATTTGTGTTTAAAAAATGTTTTTTCTTCACTCCATGGCTGCGATCCTGCAAGGAGACACGTGCGTCTGTAGGGAGCAGTTTGCGGGATTGGGTCTCCTGTGTATCACAAAAAAACCTTTGGGGGCACAACCATCCCTTCCAACTCTGCCAAACAGCTCTAGTGTAGAAGTACCAAGATATTTTTTGCGAGGGGGGCCGGAAATTTTATTTTAACATTTAGCGTTTTGAAATGGTTTTTGCTTCAGTTCAGGAATTACGGGGGAAATCCCGAGACGCGCTGATCACCTGGCCCCTGAGTTCAACAGGAGCTGAGTCTCATCAACCCCTCTCAGAAGCGGGCCCAGTGGAAATGGGAGCTACCGACTCCAGGAGCGGGCCCTATATCGGCTACTATGGGAGAGGAAACCATAGATCAGAGAGAATCCGCCTTAGGGCTGAGGGCTCCTCTCAGCAGCCGGGAGCAGAGTGACCTAGACACACGAGCGCTCTGCTACCCTTCCCCAGATGGTATCATCCCAACCAAGCCCTTATCCCAGCGTGGTATATCCCAGCGGAGGAGGAGCTTCTCTCGCCACCCCTCCTCCCCCCAATGTGGAGCGGAATAGGCTCGTGCTCGTCGCGCCAGTCTTTGTGTGGGAGCGCGCGGGCGCCACACACGGGGAAGGAGGGGGCGCCGGGCAGAGTGAGTCGGACGGGCGTGATGCAGACGGTGAGTGGGGCGGGGAAAGGAGTTCGGGCTGCGGCTGCCTGGGGGTGGGTAACGATGGCGCTGTGCGTGCGGCCGCTGGGCGGCCGGGAGAGCTGAGGGGAGGGAGCCGGGCAGCACCCCCGCCCCCAGCTGGGCTGGAAAGTTTGGGGTGAGGTGCTGGGAAGCGGGGGTCGGCTCTCTGGTGAGCCCGGCTCCCGCCCCACGAGTCCCGGCGGCTCCTCGGGCTCCCAGCCCGGCAGGAGGCGGCTCCTCCTCCGGGGACTCGCTCTCCTGGGACGCTCCAACTCGGGGCCGAAACTTGTGGGGTTTTTTCCCTTCCGGGCAGCGCGGGGCGCCCGGAGCCGCGAGGGGCGGGCGGGGGCGGGCCGGGCCGAGCAAGCTGCCCCCCAGGGCGCCGCGGGAGCGAGTCTGGGAGCGCTGCGTCCCTGGGACACCACGCCGCGGGGCCGGCGCACGGGAGGGGCCAGGCTGGCCGCAGCTGCTCAGACTGGAGCGGGGTGGGTTAGCCAGCGTGTCCCCCGGCAACCGGGGTGGGTGGAACAAGCACTGGGGCGGGTTGGCTTTGGCCGCCCCGTAGGACATGGGGTGGCCCGTGGGAGGCGAGTCCGTGCCGGCTGTGGAGGGCGTGGTGGGCCGTGGCACCCCCGGAGGGCATGGAGTGAGAGTGACACACTCACTGAGGGTTAGTCTGGCGCTGCACTTCAAGTTCTTCATGGGCCGGGCAGGCAGACATGTAGAGAACTTGATCTGCTCTTTCCTTGCAGGGACAGGGAACACAATGGGCTTATTTCTTGCCCTTCCTCAGGGTGGGAAATTCCCTTCGAAGCCCTTTGAGACGCATGTCACACACTGGTGAGGTCCCAAGTAAATTAAATTATTCTTTCTCTCTCTGCAGATGGCTTTCTGGATACCATGATCAGCAGAGGATTTAATATCATATATATCCAGATATGTCCTGATCTCTCATAACTCATTTCAATGTGAGCATGGAAGAATAACCCAGCTAGAGGCTGCTTTTCAAGTCTTATCCTCTCCAAGCCACAATAGGATCATATCTAGGCAGTGTGGGGGTGGCAGAGGCTGTTGGTGCTGTGGATTTTCCTCCACATTCTTTGCCCAGAGTGAGGGTCTCTGTTTCTGACAATGATGAAAACTGAAGGCAAAGGGGAAAGGACTCTGAGAAGCGCTTCTCCACACAGAAATACTTATAAATCCGATTTCCATGCCATCAAATGCTCCTTTGATGGGGTAAACATCCCTGAAAATGCTTCCAACAAAGTGGGCCCCCAGCAGAAGCTGAACACCACCTCCAGTGGAGGGGGGAATGACCCACATAGCCGAGGCAGAGCTGCCACCTATGGCAACAGAGTACACAAGATCAAAAACATGTTCCTGCAGATGGGGGGCTCCTCTGCCACACCACCCTGTGAAAGCAGCTCCCCCACTGAAGCCAAGATCATCAGTAGGGCAGTACCAACTGATCTTGTACCTTCTCCCAGCAGTCCATCTTTCCACAGTGTCCAAAAAAATAACCTCCTTAATACCAGCCCCTGCTGCAGCCCCCTGGACTCACTGCCTGGGTCTTCCATGGGTGACAAAATCATCCGCAGCAAAGATGAAGGTGATTTGGATAAAGCTGCCTTGGCAGAAAAGTTTTCTGAGACCAGGAAACTTTTTGAGAGGAACATAAAGCAGCGGAGCTCAGTGGACAGATATTCTCCCAGCAAATGTGAAAGAAGTGAAGATAAGACGAGACATGGTTCAGCCTCTCCTGACTGCAGCAGTGTGGTGGATCATTTTAATTTCAATATAGATGTGATCCCTCATATGGCCCTGGAAAGAGCTGAAAGTCAAGGCAATGATGAGCACAGGCAGCAGCATCTCAGTGGTGGCCCAAGATCCTCCTCTTTGAATGCAGGACCAATTTCTAGGCGGCTGGAAAGTTTTCTTGGTGACAGTGACACTGAAGAATCCAAAGAAATTTCCAAAAGTGAGGGTACCCCAAGTCAAGGGTATATGCTCCCCTGTAGCTGGGAGTCACCTGCTGCTATTCAAGGATGCACAGAGGAGAGTCCATGCCCCAAAGAGCCTGTTTGTCTCAGTAGCAGCAGCAGGGTTGAGCTGAGTCGGTCACCTGAAGAAGTGCATACAAGGGAGCAAGTGGCTCCTGGGAGGGGCCAGCAGGATGTGAACAACACATCTGATAAGGAGGCCAAGTGGTTAGGGGACAGTGCCCCCCCACAGATCTCCCAGGTAGAGATGGTTCGGGCTGAACTGGTTGCGGTGCAAAAAGAAACCTCAGGGAATAAAGAAGATAGTGTCTTTCATGGGGAACAACCACTCAGGCACCAAACTGGGGAAGAGAACAATCATTCATTTGGAGGACTGGAAGAGGTAACAGTATGCAGTGAGCCCAGTCAGAAAGAAATAAGAGAGGGAGTGTCTCTGAAGGAGGTTCTTATCACACAGGTGCCGGACAATCTAGAACAGGAGGGAGACACTGAAGAGGAGGAGGAGGAGCATGTGGTGGAAAATCAGAGAGAGAAGTTCATTGCATTTTCTGTCAGTGCTTTTGGAATAGAGAATGCAGGTTTTGATGATGACCGGGATACAGAGTCTGAAAACCAGGGCCCTGAAGGTAAAGAAACATTGGAGGGGGAAGAGGAGTATACCTATGACAGTGATTATGAGGAGTTTCCTGGGCTATCTGAAGAGGAAGATCCTGAGCCGGACAGAAGAGTCAAGTTTTCAACTGCCCCTATCAAGGTAAAGTATGTCATAATGATGTTTTGCTTTGTTTCTAAACATGTTCTTAACCATACAGGAAGTCCATTTTGATTATGCACCTTTCAGAACTTTTAAAATGGTGTTTATATTTCTTATTGTATTAGATTAAATTGCAAAATGAAGCAATATTGAATAGAGTTGTAAACAAGAATTACCACCTCTACAGTTCATTGCAAAATTCTTCAGGATTTCAACCCCCTCTCTACCTGGAGTCATCTAGCAAACCTGAGTTATTCCAGCTGTACTTTAAATGCAAGGGGTGTGTGTGATTATTTAGCATACTTTTCTCTATTAGATGATGATGATCAGGGGATACGGATTTCATCTATGTTATAGTCATGATTTTTACCGTGTTAGGGCTTGCTTTCCCTCCTTTTGAACTGCGGGACCTAAAAAGGGTCTAGTCTATGCTGTAATTCCTATAGTGGAGGACCCCATAGTTTCCCAACAGAGCTAAGACACAGTTGTGTGCTATCAACCTGTTAGTTAAAACTGTTCTAATCATGTTCCCAAACTTATTCTGCTGAAGTAGATGTTTGCAGGGCAGTAGCATGGTTCAGGTACAGAGTTAGTAATTGGCTTGATCCTAATTAAACTCTGGGACCGAACTGTGTTGTCTGTGAAGGAAAAATGATTTATTTATTTTTTTTACTTGTGATTTGTGTTAAGCTGTATTTGGATGGAAATTGGAATTCAATTAAAATGCACAAAAAGAGCATTTTAAAATTATGCATTAGTTAAATAAAACTACCTTTAATGTGTTGGATACATTAAAAAGGCATTTGTCAAAACCTGTTTTGCATTTAAAGCTGATTTATTAAACAGAGAGAGTATTATCTGAAGTTAGCAAATTGAACTGATTGTTTCTCATACACACTATGACTAAGGCCAAAAGGGACCACCAGATCATCTAGTCTGACCTCCTGTGTATCACAGGCCACCAATACCACGCACACCCTAAACTAAATAGCCAAAATTAGATCAAGGTTTTACAACTCACAGAAGACTAGTCTATTATGTGCCACAGGCAGAGAATAGGAGGGGCTGAGGTGCACCAGTGCTTGAGACCCTCGCAATGGCAGGGGAATGACGCAGTGTGATACACCCAGAAAATCCTGGCAAGCGATGCACGCCCACATGCTGCAGAGCAGGGCAAAAAATCAAAATGTCACTGCTAGTCTGGCATGGAGAAAAATTTCTTCCCCAGCCCACATATGGTGCTCAGTTAGACCTTGAGCATGTGAGCAAGAACCAGCCAGCCAAGTACCCAAGAGAGAGAATGTTCGGTGCCACCTGTGAGCCCTGGCCCTCTCCCTCCAATATCTCATCTTTAGCTGTGGCCATCCCTATGTCATGTCTGCTGCTCTTCCCCTCTTTTAACTTTCTGGTGGCTGCAAGGAGAATAGCTTTACTATTTCCCCTCCTCCCCCCCTCCAAAGCCTCAGTCTTGTTCTATAGCCTCTGGCTTGTAGATATCTGATAAATTTAAAGCATCTCAAAATGCATACTCTGGATGTTTTGAAGGGAGACACATTCGCTCTCTGTTCTACAGTCTCATCCCATTGCTTCCTGGTTGTTGGGTGGTGGGAGGGAGGGAGATGGGGAGGGGGTAGTCTTTGCTGCTTTATTGCTTGCCAGCTTCTCTTTTTGGGGAGGGGAAATAGCTTGAGTGCCTGGCTGTACTGTTGTTCAGAGTTTCTCAAGCAACAGTAGCATGAAACTGATCTTATTCTTATCACTTTTCATTGTGCGGTTCAGATCCCTGTGCTCAACACTGAAACCAACAAAATTCTGAGCAGCAGAAGAGGCACTGTAGCTGGGTGAGGACTTACGAAGCCAACATTGCATTAGTTTACGGTGCATTTAAGCTTGGAGGGTTATCTTCTCAGCCAGGAGGGTTAGAGGTGTTTTTAAATAAAAGCATAGATTCTGCAGATACTGTCAGATAGGTAGTAGGAATCTTTCCCCTAGGTGAGTGGATTTTTCCAGCCCTACTGCTTTGTGGTGTCTGTGGAGATACAGGGTACTGAGCAAGTGACTTGTTTTTCCTCTGACATCGCAGAGGGTGGGTGGTATTGAGTGATTGCTCATCTGCTTTTAGGATGATGTTGAAGACCACCTGTTTGTTCTATTATCTCTCCTGTTCAAAGTATTTGTGAAGCCACTAAGGAAGATCATGAGATGGTTTGAGTGGCAATGCCAGTATAATGATGACACTTAGCTCTACATCGCCTTATTGCACCTGCATGAAATAACATGTTTGCTTTTTCCCTATTTTTGATCAAGTTGGGATATGGATAAGAGCTACTCAACCTGGAAAGTAGAGAGGTGGAAACAGATTCTGGTAATGGAAGTGGTAGTAGTAAAGGGCAGTCCTGGAAGCAGTATCTGTATGTCTTTTCAGGGGTTCACAGTTTTGAATCCTGCTGCAATCCTGGAGAGACTGAGGATTCCAAAAGATAACTGCAGTAGCTAAGAGTATTCTTTCATCTTTGTTTGACAAGGAGGATGTGGTGTTTTCTGATGGATAACTTGAGTGAGTTTGAGTTTCGTGTGTGGCCTTTGTTTTTTTTCCTCTTGGTGTTCTGAGTTAGTCAGTTTAGATAATTTATTTTTACAACTAATCTACAGTTCTTATGTGATGGGTGCATTTTTAAACTTAAAAGATATATAAAATCTAATTAAGTTGCAGAATTCATAGGTGGTATACTCATTTTTTTTTGTATCTGATTATTAATAATTTGAGAAATCAGTGAAAGTTCTTAATGTTTATATCTAGAAACAGACTGAAAAGTGAGCAAACAGGATTGAGTATTCAAAGTTATGAACAACTTAAGTCTTTTCTTAAAAATATTTAGGTTAACTTTCTTGAACTATATGAATAGCTGTGAATTAATACAGAATATACGTTATCACCTAACCTGTGTTACCTTAAAGACATCTAACTTGTTTTCCAGCATGGGATTCATTTTTCTGAATGTGGTAAACTGCAATTAAAATGTTTAATTGTTTACATAAGGTATTTTTGATTTTAGAAGTTTCCATACCTACTTTTTAAAATCCTGTTTTGGTTCTAACCATATCAGAGGACCTTCTCTTCCAGTGAGATCTTAACAGGCTGGAAAGAAAAATTTTAATCTGACACTTGCTGTGTTAACACTTCGGCATTTGTTGTTTGAAGCCTGAGAAGTTTCATTTTTTGGCAGTGGAATGTCCATTCTTCTCACAAATGCTTTGACTTCTGTCCTCTTTGTACCTCCTCGTATGATCCTTTTGGACAACGTTAGACTTGATCCTTGGCCCCTTTGAACCTGATACACTGCATCCTTTATTCTTGTCAGTACTATATAAAATCCTTCCTAACTTTTTATTTTAAGAGAGTGTCAAAACAAATAATCAAGTTAAGACAGGTGTTTGGTGCTCCAGATTATGTTCAGAGAGTCTCTTAAAGTTGATTAAGGGATTTGCTGAAATGGGGGTAAGGGGATGCAATTAGAATAGGGCTACGATTGCTTGGCCGGTAGAATACAAAGTAAGAAATACTTAAGTCATTATTTCCAAGACTGTGTGTCTAAATATTACAAAACTGGTCATTTTCTACATGGATGTAATTAGGGTTTTGGTAAATCAATGTGCTAGGCAGGAGGGCTGGAGTTGCTGGTTGAAGGGGCTGACTTGAGAAACCTTACCTGCAGTGATTCCCTCTGCTTTGCTCTCTACTACCACAAACATTTTTTCCCAGTCATCCTCCTTGGTGTGAGCAGTCTCTTCCTGCTGCTTTCTCTTCCTTACCCTAGAAGCAGCAGTGGATGATAGTATGTGCTTTCATCAGATGCCTGGGACTTTTGGCACAAAGCTGACCCCAGAGTCTATGCTACGGTGGCTGCTGACAGTAGGTGGGATGAGAGCTTGCTGCCTTGTCTGGGAAAGGGTGTATATCCATTGAAACAGCCATAGAGGAGCATAACATAGTGGGGGGGAAAAGCCAATTTGAAGTAGAAGTGTCAAGAATTGGGTTGGCATGGAATCTGGGTCTTGTACTTAGGAAGTGGCACAGATGTTCTGATCAGTCCTAAAAGCGCCTTTTTCTCAATGTTTCAGTGTGGTAACTTAGGGCATATCTACATGTACAGTGCTGCAGTGGCACAGCTGCGTTGATCCAGCTGCAGTGTGTCTGGTGAAGATGCTCTATGCTGATGGGAAAGAGCTCTCCTGTGGTCATAATAAAACCAACTCTGCAAGCAACGGAAGCTCTCCCATTGACATAGCACTGTCTAGAATGGCGCGTATGTTGGGGTAATAGAAGTAGTGTCTAAGCTGTGGCACATAAGCCACTTTTGGCACTTCAGGGCAACTGTTAGTCCTGGAGGAATTCTGCGCCCTGCGCAATGCAAAATGTGCACAGAAATTAATATTATGCACAGAATTTCCTTCTCTCCCAGCCCACCTCCCAGCCCACCTCACCCCCCCCCCCACTCCCGAAATAGGCTGCAGAGCTGCTGGCTGTCACCAGGGGGCACTGGACCTGGACCCACAGAGCTTCGCTCTCAAAGAGAGGAGAGGGGAAGGGGAAGGGTTCCCAGCAGCTGTAGTTCCCAGCACACCCTGAAGGAAGGAGGAGGCTTACAGGAAACTGTACAAGCGTGGGACCTAGCATCAGGCTGTTTCTCCTTGTGGATCACTGGCTCTGGGGGAGAAAGGGGTGCGAGTGTCTGGCCTGGGGAGGTCCCACAGTTGGATGGGAGGGGGACCGTGTGAGTGTCTGGGCTGGGGGGCGCCTCACGGCTGGGCTCTGGGGAGTAGGGAGTGTCTGGGCTGGGGGGGTGCCCTGTGGTTGGGTTCTGGGGGTAGGGGACACGTGCGAGTGTCTGGGCTGGGGGGGGGTGCCCTGTGGTTGGGTTCTGGGGGTAGGGGACACATGTGAGTGTCTGGGCTGGGGGGGGTGCCCCGTGGCTGGGTTCTGGGGGTAGGGAGCATGTGCGAGTATCTGGGCTGGGGTGTGCCCTGCGGCTGGGCTCTGGGGGAGGGGGTGCGTGCAAGTGTCTGGGCTGGAAGGATGCCCCATGGCTGGGCTCTAGGGGGAAGGGTTGTGGGTTTCTGGGCTGGGGGGTGCCCGGTGGCTGGGCTCTGGGGGATGGGGAGCAGAGAAACAGGAACTGGGTTATCATAGGGGTTTCCTTAATTCTACTCCTGGAGGAATTTTTTTGTTTCTGTTGTTAGACATAGTTGCTGAAACGTATTTTGAAAAAAATTACCGAAATAATTGAAACGGTCATGATTATAAAGTATTATTTTGACAAAATTGGCAGAATTTTTATTTTTTGGTGAAGAATTCCCCCAGGAGTAAGCTGTGTTAAGAAGAAAACCTAATATTTGATTATTAATTGAAAAAGTTACCTGAGCCATGACCAATTAAAAAATGGAACCGTTTAAACTAGCCATATAATTATGGTACACTCCCTTCCCTGTAATCCCAAAAGTAGCACTGGTTGAGCTGGGAGTTCCCTGAGCATTCCTGCTGCCCATCAGCTCCTGTGCTAGACATCTTCTGAATTGCAGGAAGGGAGGAGCAAGTATCGCTGGTTGCTCCCTTGTTAAGTTCCCTTCTGGGATGTGGGAGTCCTAGGAAGAGCAGGATAAGAGCCTGACCGATTCTGCCTGAGCCTAAGGGAGTACTCCACAGCAGCCGATGAGGGGGTAGAAAGAGAAGATGAGAAATAGCAACTAGTTCTAGTTCACTACTTCCTCATTCCCAGTGTAGGCCAAGCCTACTGTGATTTATTTTTCCTTTTTCTATCCCACTCTTCTTCACTGCTTCTGGCCAGTCATTTTAGTGCCCTTTCCCCTACCTGAGTGATATAGCTAGACAGAGCCCAGAATCCACACTGGTGGAAACAAACACACAGGAAAACAAGTTTAATGTCACTATTTTTTGTCTTTGGACCAATATTGATGTAATCTACCTTTGGACTAAAGGCATAGAAGTGGCTAGAACTTGGCAGTGCAGTATAGGCTTGGCAGGATTAGATTTAACTCAGTAGATGTTCCTAAAGGTTGATTTCAGCGGACACGCTGAAATCAATGAAAAAAATCCATTGTTAACAATGAGAACAGCTTCCCCAACACACCTTGCGCCTGCAGCGATTAGGTGTCACCAGTCCTGTGCAGGGAGCCCTCTGCAACCTCCCCCGTCACTGGAGTGATCGAGCGAGGCCAGTGACACCCAATCCTTGCAGGCACAAGGTGTGGAGAAGACTGCGGTCTTGGCAAGCAGAGCAGAGACCCCCCCACCCCCCAGCCAGGACTTGGAGGAGGATGAGCCCTCAGCTGCAGGGGATGCCACTCTGCTCCTGAATGGCTCCATCCCCAGGCAGAAGCCATTCAGCAACAGGCTTGTTGGTAGGGTGACCAGACGTCCCGATTTTTGCTTCTTTGTCCCGCGTCCCGACCGATGTTTGGTCGGGACACTGGACAAAAAAGAAATGTTGTGCTCCCCCGCCCCGGCTCCACCCCCGCCCCGGCTCCACCCCACCTTCCCCCATTGGCTCCCTCCCCAAATCCTCGCCCTGGCCCCGCCTCTTCCCCAACCACGCAGCATTCCTCCTCCCTCCCAGGCTTGCAGCATGGCGGCGCAAGCCTGGGAGGGAGGGGATGGCGGCGGTGCCTGGATCTTGGAGCTGGTGAGTCAGCTCCGGCACCCGGGCACCCGGCGGGCAAAGGGGGGCTGGTAAGGGAGGGAGACAGGGGGCTCAAAGCTGAAGAGGGCTCCCGCCGTGACAGAGGGCTCCTGCCCGGGCCGCTGCACCCGGGGCCGGGAGCGCAGCCTGGAGGCTGCTGCAGCCCGCGGGATAGCGCGGTGGGTCCGGGTGGGGGCAGCGTGGAGCGGGCAGGGGCCGGTTGGGCGGCGTGGGCCGAATCCCTGCAGCTGCCAGGGAGCCCTGCGCCTCTCCCTCCCGCTCACGACTGCGGCTCCTTCCCGGCGGGACGCGCCCCCCGGCCACATGCGGCACGCGTCCAGCTGCTCCTTCCCAGCGGGAGGGAGAGTAGGCGCGGGGGACGCGGGCCGCATGTGGCCGGGGCAGCGGGAGGCGCGTCCCGCCGGGAAGGAGCCGCAGCCGCGAGCGGGCGGCA